GTTCCAACAACGCATATCTTCAAGGGACCACCTCCACCATTGTTTTGCAGTCTGCTGGTGCCGCTTCTACTCTCCCTCTTGACTTGTCCCTATGGCATCGTCATCTCTGCCACCACCACCATGCTGGAGTGCAGAAAATGGTGAAGGAACGACTCGTGACTGGTCTACAGCTCGATTCGGATGTGCAGCCTGACCCTGTGTGCGAGCCCTGTCTCTCTGGCAAGATGCACGCTCACCCCTTCCCCTCCACTGGCTCTGTGACCTCCAAACCGCTTGAACTCGTCCACTCTGATCTCCACGGTCCTCTCCCTGTTGCCACTCACTCTGGAATGCGCTACTGGATCACCTTCATTGATGAGTTCACCAAGCTCAAGGTGGTCTATGTCCTGCGCTTGAAGAGCGACGCATTTGAGGCTTTCAAGCGCTACAAGGCCTACGTGGAGAACCTGACTGGACAGCGCATTTTGGCTTTGCAGGATGACAAGGGAGGAGAGTACATGTCTAATGCCTGGGACTCGTTTTGTTTGGAGCATGGGATCGCTAGGAGGCACACGGCACGTAATCGGCCACAGCAGAACAGCGTGGCAGAGCGTGCCAATCGCACTATCATGGAGGCCCTCACTGCCATGCTCTCTGAATCGCATTTGCCGCTTGTTTTCTGGGGCGAGGCTCTCGCTGCTTATGTGCATGTCTGGAATCGACTCTGGACGTCTACCCTGAAGGGCAAGACGCCATTTGAGATGGTCCATGGGAAGAAGCCGGACGTTTCGCACTTGCGGGTCTGGGGCTGCTTGGCTTATGTGCATGTGCAAAGAGACAAAAGGGATGGATTTGGATCGCATATGGAGAAGTGCGTGTTTATTGGGTATCCTGATGGCTACAAGGCGTGGAAGTTCTACAATCCTGCGACTCGGAAGGTCATCATTTCGGAAAGGGCAGACTTTGATGAGCGATTCTTCCTGGCACTCGCAACTTTGATGCTAACACCCAGTCCGCCACCCCTCCTCCTTCGTCTCTGTTCAGTCTTTGGGACGCAGATGTTGATCCGGTGCCGGTTCTGGGAGGGGAAGCAGATGCTCCTCCTCATGCTGGTCACCTGGAAGACGCTCCCATCGATCAGGATCATCCTGTGGCAGACCCAGCACCTCCTCCACCTCTTGCTCCTGTCGTTGTCCCTCCTGATGCTCCCCCTCCTGTCATTCCAGCACCACCTCCTGCTCTTAGAACGCGCTCTAGGAATCGCTCTGCCACCCCTGAACCAGGTCCATCTGTTACTCGACGCTCCACTCGCACTCGTCGCGCTCCTGGGGAATGGTGGAAGGTTAGAATGCTGCCTGGAGATAATGATGCTCATTCGGACACTGCTGAGGACGCCCCTAATGCTTCTGGAGAGGCAGAGATGGAACCCATTGTTGAGGACGCATTTCTGGCTGAAGTCGAGCGTGCCCTATTCACCTCTGGTGCTGAAAAGGCTGAGCCCTCGACGTATCGTCAGGCAATGAAGCGCCCTGATGCAGATGAGTGGCAGAAGGCGGCAGAGGAAGAGATGGAGGCTCATGCTCGGAATCGCACCTGGGACATTGTTTCACTCCCTGAGGGCTCCAAGGCAATTGGTTCTCGTTGGGTTTTCAAGGTGAAGCACAACACGGATGGCTCTGTCGAGCGCTACAAGGCTTGTCTCGTCGCCAAGGGCTTCAGTCAGCGCCCTGGGTTCGATTACTTCGAGACATTTGCCCCCACAGCCAAGTTTGCAGCCATTTGTGCCATCTTTGCTTTTTCTGTTGAGCGCAGTGATAATGAAGCAACTGGCACAGAGAGAGTGCCAAAAAGAAGCTCTATAACGACAGGACTGTGGTCCAGAGGGTAAGAGTCTAAGTAGATACAAAGAACAGAGGGGAGCGCACCTGTGGTCCAGAGGGTAAGAGTCTGAGGAAATAATCGCCCTCGGACCACGGGTATAAGCTACACAGAACAATAAGAAACGAAATAGGAAGGTATGACATCAACGGGTCATTACATGTGAAACATCTTACAAAGCGGTCAAAAGCTCCACCTGGAGGTCGGTCCGGAGTGTCAATGACATCACACCGGACCGCCTCAGCCGGCTAACCCGGTGAAACAACTGAAACAAGGTGAGACAAGGTGAAAACAAGGTGAGACAGTCCAAATGGAGAAAGAAAGCAATATACCTGCTCTGGGAACGGCTGTAGGGCGGCTCACAGCTGTAGAGGCGAGTAATCAATGAGTCCCAAAGGTGGCAGGCATGTGGCATGGATGCCACATCAACCAGAACAGCCACAAACAACACTCTCTGTGCCAGTTGCTTCGTTGTCACTGCACTCAACATTATATCTTTTGTGCACTCCATCTTCTCTAGCCTATCCTCCTTTCACTTCTCTTTCCATTCGGCCATGTTTTACCGCAAGGATGGCATTCACTTCCCCAATAAAAGCTCTGTGTGCAAGCTTAGCATGCTCCGCTGGGTAGTGCTCATCATCTCTCATTCCTCTCACTATCACCACCCATGCATTACCAGGATCCAGCACTACAAGCAGTTAGACTGTGTCATGCATAAGTTCCTCATCATTGACCTCACCTACCCTACTTTTCATACAACTGAGCACACCATTCCTATCATTGTAGAGTGCACCATGGAGATCCACCAGTTCTGCAACCAGATCAAGCTAGACCCTGCCATTTCTACTGAGACCTTGTCTTGTGCCTCAGTTGGGTCATTCAGGGCCTTTTCAAGCTGTGCCTCTATCTCATCCTCCTCATCAATGAGGATACCCGCGTTTGACTACATAACCATCCTATGGGCTCTATATCATGATCATTGAAATAACATGACAGGCACTTTTATTGTGAAAGAGACTGTATACATTATAGGAATAGTATGATTAAACAAAGTAACTTGTATAGTCAGGCGATCATGGAAATACTAAGGCTCAATATAATTCATCTCAAGGGATGCTAAGCCCCCAGTGTTTCACTGTTTCAAGGGCACATCGTTTTCTTCACCATCATTTCTGTGTGGTGTTTTTGATGGCCTTGCTTTAAAAGCAGCACAGGGAACCACTTGCCATTTGCACTCTTCTACAGTGGCCAAGAGATTTGCCTTCTCTTGCCCTATTAGAAGTGCAAAAAAGCCATATGGTCCATATGGCTTCTCCTGAAGCATCCTTGTTATCTTCTTATAGTCTAGCAAGGTAGCTTTGAACTCCATGCCCCAGTTAGATCCCCAACATTGCACTCCTCTAGGTACCCTGTCCCTTCACCCAAGCTAGATAAAGATGAATCAGATTGAATAGAGTCAGAGCCTTATTGCCTGCTATCATGATTAATGTTTCTCCTTTGTTAATCTCACATCTGATCCACCTACTGTGCTTTTTTGTCTTGGGCTGGCTAAAATATCCTCTACTAGCTTTCACTGCTATACTCCTTTCTAGCCAGGCAACTCAAGCTAGGGCATTTTTCTAGCCACTTTCATGGCAGCACCCATTCCACCATCCAGACTCAATGCATAGTCTTGGGCACTACTGAAAGATTATCACTAGGAATACCACTAATTGGTGAAGCAGTCTCTGCAGGCTAGTGAACTGATTCTCTGCCCACACATATGTGTTATGCACATAGTCTGAAAGACCAGAGACATGTGTTAGTAACCAATCTTCAGGTTTAATAATATGATTGAGATAGAGATGGAGTTCACTGATTCTTAGGTCTTTAGTGCGCCAGGAAGCCCATGCATTCTAAGCTACTGCTTGGTCACATATCTAAATGAGCATGCTTAGCGCATGTGTTACAGATGCCTTTGCAGCACATGCTTCTCCTAGTATTATCCAACTTGTTGCACTAGCAAAGACACTCACCCAACCCCTCCGACTGACCAGTGGGCGATCCAGAATGAAGTTGATGTGCATGTCGTCAGCCATGTCAATTACAAAAGGAAAAAGCTGTTTAACATGAATGAAGCTCTTGCCTTTCAACCTAGAAAAGCAATATCATAGAGCTTTTCTGCAAACTTGGTGAGACTGTTAGTTGGGTGAGCAAAATGTGAAAGATCTTCCACAAAAGACAAATTATCATCAGCTAATGCAAGAACCAGAGCTGTGTATATCTGTTTGTCTAGACCATATATCAAGGGAAACTTGCTCTCAAGCCATTGGTTGAGATTGTCCTAATAATGCCTCGTAGTAACATAGTCCATGCCCCACTTGTCCAGAATTCTAGTGGCTGTCTCTTTAAGAACATACTTCTTCACAAGTTTCCAAATGTCATGCACATACATCTAAAATACATACTTGGTAATGTGCATCAGGATCTTGATGTAGTATTCTATTGATTGCCAGTGGGGATCATCCAAATCACCTTGGACCAAAACAGTGTGTGTGATGATGAACTATGAAGTGGGGCTTCCCATATGACAAGATCCGTGCACAATCTGAAACTGTATATGGCTCTCAGGTCTTCTTATTCACTGACCACAAGTATGAAAGGATCTGCGAGCTATCCATCTTTTCACCAGCCAAATGAAATCCCTTCCACAGTGCTGGAAACCTGTCCATTATTAAAGATCTGGTAAGCCAAGTATCCTTCATGCCTTTTGTTAGCACTCTCATATTGCCTGTCTGTGCAAAGTTCAGGGTTCTCTCCAGCATAGCAATAAACTCAAGATGATAGGGATTGATATCTCTGTTGTTTGTGGCCATTCTGGTTGATGTGGCATGGATGCCACATGCGTGCCACCTTTGGGACTCATTGATTACTCGCCTCTACAGCTGGGAGCAGCCCTATAGTCGCTCCCAAAGCAGGTATATTGCTTTCTTTCTCCATTTGGACTGTCTCACTTTGTTTTCACCTTGTCTCACCTTGTTTTAGTTGTTTCACTGGGTTAGCCGGCTGAGGCGGTCCTGTGTGATGTCATTGACACTCCGGACCGACCTCTAGGTAGAGCTTTTGACTGCTTTGTAAGGTGAACCACTTGTAATGACCCGTTGATGTCATACCTTCCTTTTTTGTTTCTTATTGTTCTGTGTCGCTCAAATACCCGTGGTCTGAGGGCGATTCTTTCTTCAGACTCCTACCCTCTGGACCACAGTCCTGTCGCTATAGAGCTTCTTTTGGGCACTCTCTCTATGCCACTCACTTTATTGTCACTACACTGAACAGCAAGGTTGTTGATACTGTATGCTTGCATTATGGCATGAGAGAAAGTAAGTAGCCATATGCTAAATTATCTGTATCTATATCTTTCCTGGTCAGACAGCCTTGCCCTTAGCCCCAGTCAAAAGTTGGTCGAGGGAGATTGAGGGAAATATAGGCATATATAGGCAGATTGATTCACAGCAATTAGATCAGATTATTAATACTGAAAATGCTGTGAGAAACGTGAAATAATGGACATTTGTTTAGTCTTTTGCTATCTTTCGCAAACACCGGAAATGCTGAAGTCATGAAACATAGTCAAAATTTGTCACAACACCTCTAGATTGCCTGCTTCAATTTTTTTTGCCTAAGTCGCTTTTTTGAATGAGAACAAGATTTTTGAATGAATTTATTCAAGTCAGATGAATCAATAGCATGAGTATAGTAACATTAAGTATAAAAAAAGGTTTATAGGAGCGGCGGCGTGCACGCGTGCAGTGCAGGCAGCAGAGATGATGGGAGGCGGGCGGTCCAGAGGCAGAGGTGCAGTCGGCGGTGTACACGATGCGGGTGCAAATATGGTCCGGAGGCAGAAGCAGTAGGTGGCGGGCTGTGTGTGGTTTGGGCAGCAGAGGTGGCGTGCATATACGCGGTGCGGGCGACAGTAGGGGTGTGTGGCGGGCTGTGTGCGCGGTGCAAGCGACTGGACGCAAGGGTGGTCCAGAGTCGGTGGCAGCGACATGTGCATGTGCAGTGCGAGCAACAGAAGGGCGGAGGGCTGCGTGCGCATGCGTGATGTGGGGGGCAGAAGGCATGCATGGAGGCAGAGGTGGAGGCATGCACGTGTGCGGCGTGGGTGACAGAAGGAGTGGGCGGCAGTCTGCGTGCATGTGTGTGCATGTGTGCAGTGCAAGTGATTGGGCACAAGGGCGGTGGGCAGCTTAGAGGCAGCGGCGGAGGCATGTGTGTGCGTGGTGCGGGCGACAAAACAACAAATGAGATAAAACAATCCAGTGAGAACAACCCAACCAAACTCGGTCAGATCTCGATTTCAACCACATCATATGATGTGACTGACTTGTGCGTGGCACGCCTAGCGAGCTCTGACAAGCCATCTCCTTTGACGTCAACTTCCGGATGTGCGGACGACATGTACGATCTAAATGGCGCTAATAATTCTGTAACCATTCCAGCTCACTCATATGGCCAATTTTCAGCTCTCTAATCTCGTGCCTCCAGCCTTGGGAGGGGCGGCTCCCCGATGTCGCAGGATTCTCCAATGTCCGTGATATCGACCTCATTTCCTTCTCTACCCTTTGCAAGCGGCTCGAAACTCATCGACCAAGCAAAGATGCCCGTGATTTTTCAACCAGCCCTGCTAAATCTGCAGAATTCCGGATACAGCTCCAGTCCAATATCCAACATGCCATCAAATGAGTTTGACTGGCATCGTATGCAGCCCCTGCAGGATATACGAAGCTAGATGAGTATTTCCACTTTTCACCACTGACATATACCTTTAGATATCATATAGTACTTATGTACCACTGGGACAAGCCATCGCCTCCGCCAGTGCGCAGGCACTTGTGCACTGTGGCAACCATGCCTACATATCGCTTCAATTAGAGAATGTACGGCTCAAACACCAGATGGAGGGCATGCAGTGAGCCATTTCTGAGCCAAACCGGCTCAACTCTTCCACTCTTGGCTCTTCTGCACCTGTCCCATCCTCACGACCACCTTCTCGTGCGACGCCGTTCATCAAGTCTAACCAGCTGCATCCCTTGTTGCACCGAGATACCCCTGTACCAAACATGATCAAGATGCGGCAGCATCCACAGCGTAGTTGGAGACGCTCTTGCGTCTGGATCTGCACGCCGACAGCAGCGACTATGGTTTGGATAGGTCAGTGCCAGGGTGTAGGCAGGCGATGGTTAGGTGATTGACGAACAGTGACGGAGGAAGGCGGAGCGGTGGCATGGTATGATTGGCATAGACTAGGTTGTACATTCCACACAAATCGATATGAATGGATCCCAATGGATCTGAATGGTTTTAAATAGATTCAAATGGATTCAAATGGATTCAAATGGGCCCAGTTTTCATTTTTCGAAAAAAAAAACCCAGCCAATGTAAAAATAAACCTGAATCTATGCCAATTGATCCCCCTTGATCTGCCTATAAAAAAGTCTAAAATTTAAAAGGGAGACCAATTCAATCCCATTCATATAGATTCGCCTATATTTCCCTCAATCTCCCTCGACCAACTTTTGACTGGGCCTTAGCCCTTGCACACATTTAGCAGTCCTCTGCTCTCAGCCATCATGGGCTTTATATGTTGTTTGTGGCCGTTCTGGTTGATGTAGCATGGATGCCACATGCATGCCACCTTTGGGACTTATTGATTACTCGCCTCTGCAGCTGGGAGCCGCCCTAGAGCCACTCCCAGAGCGGGTATATTGCTTTCTTTCTCCATTTGGACTATTTCACTTTGTTTTCACCTTGTCTCACCTTGTTTCAGTTGTTTCACCGGGTTAGCCGGCTGAGGCGGTCCTGTATGATGTCATTGACACTCTGGACCGACCTTTAGATGGAGCTTTTGACCGCTTTGTAAGGTGGACCACCTAGAATGACCTGTTGATGTTATACCTTCCTTTTTTGTTTCTTATTGTTTTGTGTGGCTTAAATACCCATGGTCCGAGGGCGATTATTTTCTCAGACTCTTACCCTCTGGACCACAGGTGTGCTCCCTTCTGTTCTTTGTATCTCTTTAGACTCTTACCCTCTGGACCACAGTCCTGTCGTTATAGAGCTTCTTTTTGGCACTCTCTCTGTGCCAGTTGCTTTGTTGTCACTGTGCTCAACATAGCCATCACTACCTTCATTGGGTCTGTAGTATAGATCTGCATCATCATAATTTCCTAGATCATCCAGTACATCTTATGCATCTAGCTTACTCTGAGCCTAGTGGTGATTTTGTGTGGTCTCTAAGCTAGCATACTGAGTTCATCAATTACTTTAAGGATTTGGGCCCCCATTTATATGAAGTTGAGGAGCAAAAGTAAGCATTCTATCTTGTTGTTGAATATTTCTGCTAGATTGTACTCTATGGTTATGAAAGGTCTGGGTTCCTCAACTTTAATAACCCTCATTTCTTTAATAGAGGAGTGGTTCCTCCTTATTAGTAATCAAAACCTTATAGGTAATGTCTTGAACTCTACAATTAGAGTTCAAGTGGTTTTTATCTTATAGAGGACTTGTGTGTTATCTCAGAGGAGCTTAGATAATAGATAAATATATTGGAGAATTCTAATCGTTTAGGAGTGGAATTTTTATCTCTGTGGGAGGAGGCTAGGTAATAACATAGAAAGGATTGACTTAGTATGACATAACAGGTCCAAGTTCTCTTGGAAAGGGGGGTGCTGGTAAGAGTTTATGGTTAACATATAAAGTGAACTTATTTAGATAGATAAGGAGGGTATATAGTTGCTTCTCATTGTGTTTATCCTATACTCTAATATTAGTACTTGTTTCTAGGGCAAGTTGTCTAATTTGTTAGCTCATACTAACCAATTGTCTTGGTATATTATTATGCTTATTATCTGGTTGTTTTACTAAGAGATTAGTGAGTCACTATAATACTATGACAGTGGCTATTTGTATTACCATAAAAATAGTGTTTCACTATAAGAGAGTATCTGCATATTATTCTAATTTTCCAGAGTAAGGATTTGTACTACTGGTAGGTCTTCCTAAGGCCAAGGGAGTCATTCTATTAATTAGTACTATATCTAATAGAGTTCCTGATAAAATTGGAATTACGTTAACCATTCTATCACTTGGTTGTTGACCTCTACCTCTTGGATATAGTTTTGTGTAAGCCTTATTTCTAGCATTTACCATAACTCTAGTAGAATGTGAATCTCAAGTTATTCTACTAGAATCACCAATATTTTTATTATTAGTATTCTTGTTCAGTGTATTGTTAGAGATGATGATAACAATAAGGAGGTTTGTAGGAGGTTTGAGAAGTAATGTTAAGTGGCTATCCCTAATAGGTCATTTGGTATCAAAATTAGTACTGGTTATTATGATATTGGAGAAGGAGTTCTGGAAAAAAGATAAGAATATTATATTATTATTAATAAGCATTTTATGGGTAAGGTATTGAAGAAAGGTATAGAGTGGTAATAAGGTTCTAGTTATAGGGGTTTGAAATACCCCTTTTTATACTTATAATTTGATTGTTATAGGATAATGTTTGTAAGAGCACATCTTATAAAAATCTTGTAGCATTTCTTCTACTGTTTCTTTTAGAAAGGTGTAAGGTTCCTAGGTATTGATAGCTTCTGGGTATTTTTTTCACTTTATGAGATATTTAGTGTCCTTATCTTGATATTTTGAATCTAAAATTACCTCTACTTTGTAATATTCTTTATCATTCAGTACTTTTAGTGGTGTTTTAACAAAGTTTGTGCCATGGGCTTCTGTTTTCTTGTATTTGATGAGCATAATAATAATCTTTACCTCAAACCCAAGAAATGTGAATTCTATAAGGAAAAGCTAAATTACCTTGGGTGTACAGTTACAAAGGATCATATTACTATGGAAGGCTCTAAGGTTGATGCCATCAAGAACTGTCCCATTACTCATACAATCTATTAAGCTGCTAGGCTTATTACATGCACTAAAAAGAATTCCTTGGTCTAATTGTGATAGCCCAACAAATAAAAACTATTGCACATCTTTGGGCATGTACAAGAAAGTCTTGGTTACTGTTAATCTTATCTTTGAAGAGATAGAGAAGGTGCTGGTTAATAATAGGACAATATTTGTTGCTAACTGGGAGGTCTTTTCTAATTGAACAGATGACTTCTGATAGATTCTAACATATGACTTGATATGTAGTGAGTCCTTAATAGGTTGTAGAGACTAGAGAATGATAAGAGCTTTGAGATGTATCCAGTGCTTCATTAGACTAGGTATGTTTTGATTGATTAAGCAGAGTTCACAATGCATAGGCTGAAAAAAGCCAAAAGCCAGATGTAGTATAGAAATCAAGATGTATATGAATTAAATAAGCTGATCTTTTAAGAAGCTTAGCTTGGCTATTTATATATATAAGCTATTTAGGGCAAGATAGAGATCTGGTCTGTGCTTCTAAATGCTAAGTAAGCTAAATGATTGGGATTTATAATCCACAGTTCTGCACTTTATTTATATATGGTAAGTATATCAAATGTCTGTCCATATTAATGAGTAATCAGAAACTGATCATAATAGTTGTAAGTATTAAAGCCAAAACTTGTTTATGGGATATATATATATAAGCATTTATGCATCAGCATGTAAATAGTAATCTTTCTAAGCTAGCAGTTTGAGTCCAAATTATATGCATACTACTTAATTTCCAAACAGCCCAAGATTTATCTTAATGACATGCCTATTAAAGCTTCTATTTAAGCAGATTCAACTTTACTTTAACCTATAAAGCCAGATCCACAAACTATTCTAATGCTCTATTTAGGTGTTCAGACTTTAATAAGAGAGTGGAATCTGACAACAAGGCCCAGGTTTTACTTCTAACCAGACTTTTTAATAATTACAATGATATACTAGTGGATTCAAAGCAAATATACATGTTAAGGCAATAAAAATGGTATTATCAAACCTCTTTTTCCTCATCTGACACTCTTGCTTGAAATATGACCTCTTAGTAGATGTAGCCCTTAATAAGCTGCTTACATACAGTCTTCAAGCAATAAGAGAAAATCTAGGGAAATAGACACATGAAGACAGTATCACCTGCCAAAATGGCTACATATGTGTCCCTAAAGATAACCTTCTTCAAAGGACTATCATTAAGACATACTATAATATACTTACTATGGGACACCCTAGAAGAGCCAAAACATTGAAACTGGTACAATGATACTACTAGTAGACACATATGATGGAATTTATTCATGAATACATGGATGGCTGTGCTATATGCCAATCCATAAAAAACCTATATTATAGGACATATCTACCTATTCACCCTTTAGAAACCACCAATGTAATCTAGTATTTTATCTTCACAGATTTTGTTACCAACTTGCTAGAGAGTCAAGAATATGGCTTTATCAATGTGGTGGTCAACCAAGGATTATCCAAGGGAACTATTATGATTCCTTGCAAGAAAATGATTTTGGCAGAAAAAACCATATTACTCTTCCAAAACTATATTTTCAAACATCATGGCTCACTAACCAAAAAAATCTCAGACCATGGCCCATAATTCACTAACAAGTTCACACAGAAACTATGGAAAAACCTAGGCATCACTGCTGCCCTTAGTATGGCATACCACCCCCAAATAGATGGGGAAATAGAATGGGTAAACCAAGAGGTAGAACAGTTCTTCTAAATGTTTTGCAATTACCATCAAGATAATTGGGTAAACCTCCTTTTATTTGCTAAATTCTCACACAATACATGGAAATGCTCTACTATAGAAAAATCCCCATTCAAAATAATATATGGTTTTAACCCTCCTTATTTAGCAGGCAGAGCTTTAAAAACCAAGGTACCCATAGTAGCAGAACAAATACAGTCAATAATGAAAGCATAGGAAGAAGCCATAGCCAGTCTATAAATAGCAGCCTAATATGCCAAAGACTAGGACTTCAACCAAATTAATCCAAAATAGGGAAAAGGAACTCAAGTCTGATTAGAAGAAGCCCACATACAGACTGCACATCCAAAGTTCAAACTAGTGCCAAGATAATATGGTCCTTTTAAAATTCTCACCAAAGTTGGACCCTTGGCATATAAACTGGAAATCCCTAATCACTAGAAAATCCATCCAGTTTTCCATGCCACTATGCTAACCAAGTATAAAGAAATGAGAGCCTATGGCATAAACTTCATCAGACTGCCACCAGAGGTATTGAATGACAAAGAGCATTATGAAGTAGAGGCTATTCTAGACTTGAAACAATAGGGACAAGGGACCAAACACCTTGTGAAATAGGAAAAATACCCAAAGGCCAATAACATATGGGAATCTTATACCCTCCTAAAGAAGACAGCAAAAGAGGCCCTATAAGATTTTTATATGGCCTATTCTGACAAACCCTGTTCTGCAGGATTACTGTCACAAAGTGTATAAAAAAAGAAAAATTTTCCACTTTTTCCACAAGAGTTCAATCTCTATATACTTCCCTCACTACAATATGCTCATTTATGATAAATCTACCACCTCCCTCACCATCCTGGAATTCCTTTCCAGATATCATCCTAGCCATTATCAACCCAGATATTAAACAACACAATAAACTGGAGTTCTCAAATATTCCCAAGTCATCCACTGCCAAAACATCCACTTCTTCCTCTACCAAGATTATTGACAAAGGAAAAGAAAAAGGAAACACCAGGTTACTAGCATGGCAGAGTCTCAGAACTCTATTATGGGCTGAGAACTCTAATAGCCAAGACCCTAGCAATACTAGTAGATCTGCAGTTCAAGATCAATATCTTGATAGAATTCAAAAACATGATAGAGGCTTAACCCATAGAAATCTGGATCAAGAATTAGATGCTAACAACCAAATATTGGAATAGATACTCTGATTCTAATTTTACCAGGAATTATATCAAACACAGTATCAACTGTTGAACAGGCTCTTCTTATCTTGGGAACCCCTTCTACTAGTATAAATCCTAACTCTAGAAAATTGGAACAACATGTGGATGCTCTTCTACAGCAAAATACTATCTCCATAGTAATATAAATGGCAACATCTGTAAAACCACTCACTCCCTTTTATTAGCTCTAGATTATTGCTAATAGTGTCTAAAAGTATTAATAGCATCTAAAAGTGTCCAATTTCTTAATTGGGAGCAATACATTGTGAGCATTGGATTGGATTCTAATTTCATGATATTAGCACTAATTCTATACTAAGAAGTCTTTAATTAGCAGTAGGAAATAGTAAGTACTACTACTCTATCAGTGAGAAGGTAAAGATATGGCATATTTCATACCGTTTTAGTATATTACTCTCCTTTATATATGCCTGTACCATTATCTTGTAGCTCTTTTGCTGACTTTCCAGCTGCCTTTAAAAGAGACATAGAAGGAGAGAAATGTGCATTGATGCCCTCAGCCACATTGTTGGCAGCTTGGCAGCTGCCACAAGAGACTATGAAGACCTCAGTATCTTGGCCTTGTACACAAGATTATTAAAGTTGTCATTGTTAGCCAATGC